ACATATGCAACATAGACATGTGCAACTTCTGCATATGCAACATAGACATGTGCAACTTCTGCATATGCAGCGAACACATATGCAACTTCTACATATGCAGCGAACACATATGCAACATAGACATATGCATCATCTACATGCAACATAGACCAACGACATAGACCAACGACACATAGCAACGACACATCTACACGTTAGAGTTCTARGTATTTTTGAAACAAATGGAACCCCATACCACACAGAATTGTTTAAAATGTACCTTGAGTTAATTAAAAGGTATTGCGAAATATTATAGGATATGCTTTCTTTCCATATAAGGACATATCCAGGAGCGTCTACACAGGCGTTATGGAATGGTACATTTATCCCTCCGGGGGTGTAAAAGTACGGTCTGTGTTTTAATATTGATGTTGTATAGTTATATCCATCACAATCTAAACTAAATGTTTAAAATAAATTGTATTTAAATAAAACGGACAACTTTATTATTTTTTAAACAAAAAWATATATATATAGGTAATCAGCGCTCACCCCCCGTATTTTAAGAAGTTGGTTTGTTCCGATGTTTTGTACGGAGGCTACAACATCACCAGGAAGTGAAGGGCGGTGGTTGAGAAACGAAGCAGCGACATTTTAGCCAAAAGTTATCTGGTTTTGTGAGGTAAGACTTTTCACTTTTTATTATATTTATTATTTAACTATATTAGAACTTGTTTTTAATCTGTATGCCGCATACTAGAGGTCGCAGTTTCATATTTACAAGTAAATTTAACATCAGCGTACCGTTTTCACTACCTTGGCTTGAAAGAATAGTTAGCTCCGCGGCTAAACTCTCGGCAGTGATGTCAGTTTTTCTGTGATTTAAATCGAGCGAAAATTTCCCATCACGTATAAAATAGTTTTGTTCTTTTATCTCTGAAATATATTCTTGTTTTTGAGTGATATTCTTGTGTATTGTTTATGTTTACATTTGTTCAAGATAGGCCGCAAACCATTGCAACAACAGTTATCGTGAGGTTGTAAAACAGACTAACAGGTTTTGCAAATAGTAATTGTTTTGCAAAGGGCGTAGCGCTGGAAATATGTTGGTTGAGTTTTTTTGTGTTTGTTTTTATTTTTTAGGTATTTAAAGTCAACAAACTACGACCTTGATAGACAAAACAAAAGCTTTATTTTTTTAAAGTGTAGAAACATGAGTTTTGGTTTTGTGTAAAGTAAGTCTGCATTATGAAATAAATACAGGAAGGAAAACTTACAATCTAGAATCTTGAAAGTTTTAGCRGTCCAAGCTATGTAAATCCACTAAAACAAGTGTCAACATGTTGGGAAGTCTACATTCTGAACATTTCCAGATAAGGGCATCTGCCCTCAGATCAGTCATTTTCCTGTCTTTGGTTAAGGCAGTGAGCTGACCAACCTAGAAAAAGATGAAGAACATTTCCATTTTTAGCTCTGAGAGACACTGCTCTGGGGATTTGCTGCCAGAGAATCAAATTACAAATGTGCCACCGCAAAAGCCTACGAGTTACAGTATGGTCTAGTTTTTAATATTGCTAATAAAACTGATTGTGTCATCAAGTAACAAGCTACTTTTCTCGTTTAACTACAAAAATATTCACATCAATTCCTTAAGTCCTAAATTTACAGTGAATTGTTCTTGCATTGTCTTTAAAATGTCTTTTTTGTTAGTTTATTGCTGATCAAATGGAGCCAGTTTAAGAAAAGTGTCTTTAACCCTCATGTATTGATTTAATCAGTGAACTATACATAGTCACGAATAATGCTTACAGGCACGTTAAAATTTGGCCTTTAAAACTGAGCTTCATCGTCATTGTTTTTTTTTTAATCACAAGACTAAAGGTTATGCTGTCATCTTGTGTTTTTACTTCCATAGAAAGAAAAGCCTTCAAAATGTCTAGCAAAAGGGCTAAGGGAAAGACCACCAAGAAGCGCCCTCAGCGCGCCACGTCCAATGTCTTCGCCATGTTTGACCAGTCCCAAATTCAGGAATTTAAGGAGGCCTTCAACATGATTGACCAGAACCGAGATGGGTTTGTAGACAAGGAGGACCTTCACGACATGCTTGCCTCGTTGGGTGGGTGAAACTCTTTTTACAAAGTGCTTAAAAACTTGTTGACGTCCAGCTTTTGGGTGGAATGTGAGCATGGTTTGTAAGAGAACATTCTCATGTCAAATAACTCAGCTGTTAGTCAGCTCTGGCTCTGGTCCCCATTAATACAAATTCCAGTATTTGGATGCACATAAGTTTTAATGCTACTTATGACTGCAAGAGTGGTGACATCTAGGTTTTCTCCACAGCAGATGAGGAAAATATCGTCTGTCCTAGCAAGTCATACAGAAGCTCCATTTGTCTGAATATATTTTAGTTTCTATCACCTGTTCCTATCAACTGGCTCTATGTTTGACATGTAAATTCTCTCCCTCGCCTATCTGGATATACTGGTAATAAAACTGAAGTTTTAAAACACTGAATCATCTGGGGTTTTGCAGGCAGATAAATATGGAATTTACATGCATTGAAAACACTTTATAAAAATTACTTTATTATTTTTTAATTTTGAGTTTTTGAGGTTTTTTTTTATTTTTAAAGGGAAAAATCCAAGCGATGACTACCTGGAGGCCATGATGACGGAGGCTCCTGGACCAATCAACTTCACCATGTTTCTAACCATGTTTGGAGAGAAGCTCAATGGCACAGACCCTGAGGATGTGATAAGAAATGCGTTTGCTTGCTTCGATGAGGAGGGAACAGGTAAGTTTGGGTTATTGTTATCTAAAACTAAAGTGCAGTACTAACATCTCCGGTCATTGAAGCTCCTAGTCGTGAATCAAGTCAAATCTCAAAGTATTCTGCTATTACTTTAGTTTTTTTAGATGGTGTAATTATTTTTACTTAGACCAAATCACTTAAAATTGACACTTAACAGTAAAAATGGGCTTACTCAAAACTTTCCTATTTTGTGAATGATGGAAATGTTAACATAAGCTTCCTTTCTTGATTTCTTTTTTTTTTTCTGATCTTAAACTTAGGTTTCATTCAGGAGGATTATCTCAGAGAGCTGCTCACAACAATGGGTGACCGGTTTACAGATGAGGAGGTAGATGAGCTCTTCAGGGAAGCCCCCATTGACAAGAAGAATAACTTCAACTACGTGGAGTTCACACGCATCCTAAAGCATGGTGCCAAGGATAAGGATGATTAAAGAACCCACCCTGAGTAATCCTACGATCTCCCACCACCTTCACTCAGCCATTAGCTAGATCACCGTGCTGCATGTCTCAGCTTTTTTGACGAGACCCGATTTTTAAATGAACCAAAGCAATAAATATCCATACTTTGCTGTGAACTTGTGGTTTTGCCAAATGAGTTTTTCATATCTCATGTATAAATGTAAAGTGGCAGGACTTTTGAAGCTTCAGTGGATAGGACTCTGCAGTTGGTGATCGTGTCTAGCTGAATTTTCACATTTTATAATATAAAACTTTTTAAATAAATCCCCTTATCAGTCTGTATTTTGCTGACTGTTTACCATACATAAATGACACATTTTAAAAAAAGTTGTCTTATGCCTTTTTTTATTTTGCTGGTGTAAAACACATTCTTGTGCATTATTTTTCTCTGGAGTTTTGTCTTGGCAAGTCTGGTTTCCCTTCATGTTCTGACTCGCACAGGCTGAATTCTTAAAAGAATCAGTGGTTGGATTGAACATACTTTTATATCATTCATTTAATCTTACATTAAAAAACATGCATATGATTGAACTGTGAGGTTTTGACCGACGGTCTCAATTAAACCTTTTATTTTTATCCAACAGACACGTTTCTACTCTGTTCCAAACAAAAATACTTACATCGAATACCTTCAGTTTATTATTGTCAGAGCTCTACATTAGCTTTTTATTTTACTTTAACTTAAGCAGTTTTAAAGCACTTGACACAATCTGTAATAACAGATCTGRTCCAGACAGAAGTATTTATTACTGTACTCATGGAAGTCAACACTAAATATATTCCTGTGGGGTTAGCAGAACAAACACAAAGGGCCTYGCACTCTTAGGATGAATACAGCTAAATATTTGTAAAACTGTTCAGCTTTTATCTGTTTAGTGTTAGGAACACCCTTTTAAAACCATGGACTGTTACTGGGTCTGTTTGTGCATGTTCCTTCTATACTTCAAATTTCACTCATTTGAGAAAATATGATCTCCATCTACCTTATCTGCATTGTGGAGGCCCAGCGTCCCCTCTATTATTTTTCCTTCATTGATAGCAGGTGAACATGCTGCCTTTTTTCCTTCACGTACRTGTTTGGTGCACTTCTATTGAAGCACATACTGTACACACCTGGTGGATGAGTTAAAATTATGTATCTCATTGTGGCTGTTTAGAAAAATGTTATTTTGAATGGGGAAGGAAAATAACGTATATTTTTTCCAAGTAGATAATTTTTTTACGGAAAATGATAGGGATTTTATTTATCTATTTATTTAGTCAGTCAGTCTGAAGGGAAACCAGAGTAATCAAACAATAGTTTTGGCCATTTCGATAGAATTACGCAGTGTTAGGATGACTTTGCAACATTAATTTATATCGTATTTTATCACCCTCTAGTGGCTGAAAATAAAATTGAAGTATCTTCACCGTCCCTTCAAAACGTAGGAATTACAGGCTTACAGAAAATATTAGCTGCATGACAAGCTCTTTTCATTGCAAAGTTGGTTTTATTGAAGAAAAACAATAACAACCGTTTTTACATTCACATTTCCCATTGACTCAAGCATGCGTTTGGCAATTGGCATTATCCTTGTTGAAGGAGAAGTACACATTTCCTATGAAACGTGAACGCCACACACTCCCACATTTATTACCAGTCTCACGTTTTTAGCATCTCTGAAAGATTTCCTCGTGATCTTCAGTTTCGTCTCTGACGAGATGTTTTGCTTCAGGCATTTTCTTCCACCCTCTCTACAACATTGGAGYCCCTGTACAAAATCATTGATAAGTGTTATTTTTTATTGTTTTGTCACGCACACACAACTAGCAGTCATGATGCTAGTATTAGCTATGTAGTTTAACTGTTAGCATGTCCACAGTAACATGAGGACAAAGAGGAAAGCAGGGTTGTGTGAATGAGATAAAGTTAAGTGTATTTTATGTGTGTGATTATTTATGACTTTATTCTCTGCGTAATATTAATCATTTCAGTGTTGAAGTCATGTGGTCGCAGTTGACTTAGCCGCTAATAACTATAACAGTAATTATCGCATTTAATCGTAATTTGCGGAACCTTTGTCACCTCACGTTTTTCTGGTAGACCGGTTACAGTGATGCACATCATGTCAAAGGTCGGACACGGCTATCAATAGAGGAATGAATATGCGTTGCTACGACTGATGAAAGGTAAATTAATGTATAAAACCCAGACGGAATACTTGGTTAAGATGGAGTTTTGTGCACAGATGGTTACATACCCCTGAAACGCTAACCGTACAGAATCATCTGAATGCAAACATGCTGCAGTTAGCTTAACAGGTCAGTAGGAACAAAACAAGAGGTGGCTCTATCAAGGCTTCAGAAATCAGTAAGTCAATATAGTTTAAAAACTCACGTCATACACTGTTCTCACAGGTTACATTGTTAGCTGCCTTGAACTCTGAAAATATGAACAAGTTTGTCTAAACAATTAACTGAAAGATTGCTAGATAATATAAGGAGTACACATCGAGGTCAGTCAAAAGGGGGGCACGGTGCGCAGCGCTGCGGCTTCTGAATGAATGAAAATGACACAGTTGTTTATACTTTTAGCAGCTCTTTTTTATTCTACACCTTACCTGCTAAAAATGACAGATTTTCTTTTCTGGATCTCTAACAGACGGAC